TGTATTCCTACCTTCTCTGTGGAACTTCATTCCTGATGTGCTCTCTGTGAATGGTGCTTTATGAACCACTAGCCCCAGAGCAGGAAAATGTCACTTGAAGTGCTGCCATAGGTCACAGGGTCATGTAATGTCTTTTTTTTTTCCAGTTCCTAGATGAGACAAGACAGCCTTGGTGTCTGGCTCTTGAGGGGATCTCCTCTGGCTTTCAGGTTATGGCTGTGTCCAGCTAACTCAGATCTGTTCCTTGTTTGTGGCAAGGAGAGACTTTATAGGAAAATCCCCAAAATGCCTAATCACTTGCATCAGAGATGTGCTTTGTCTTCAAAGTCAAACTAATGCCAAGATTAATTGCTGTCATAAAATATATCTATTTTTAATGATTCCTCTGCACTTGAGCTTTCTCATAGACCTCTATTTCTATTTTAAACTTAATGGGAATACTCATTAAGAAAGGGAAGCACCTTCCCAGAGGTGTAGTCTGAGCAGTAACTTTTACAGCCCTTGTCCAGTGCAGTTCCCAAGGGTGCTCTGGTACATGCGGGGCTTAATTAACCATGCTGTCTCCAGAAGTAAATCCATCTCTAGTGTGATTGTTACAGAAATTAAGACTGTCCTAGCAGGAGAAGAACATCCTAAACGTGATTTCTATTTATATCCAGTATTTGGTCCTAGCTCTGTACTGTGGTCTGCTCCCAGGTACTTCCTGTGAGTACACAGACGTTGCTGATTTTGTTCAAACATTGATGCTTTGCCAGTGTAAACCATCCTCCATGGACCCTGTAATTCTCTTGCTTCTTGCAGACACATAGCATTTTTAGGACATGAATTAATTACCTTGACTACAAGGATATTTACATTTGGATTTGATAGCATCATTCCCCGCCTTCCTCCCAGAAGGGAAGAGAAAGTGTGAGCATTGCAAAGCTATTTAATGGATCAATACTTTTTAGAATTATCATTTTCAGTTTGTATTTTTAGCAGAATCATAAATATATCCAAATGTCCATAAGACTCTTGATATGGAGCATCAGGTCTTGTTAAGCAGAGAGGAGGTATTTTTTGTTCATTTTGCAAGTTGGTGTAAGGTAAAGAGGACATGCAGCAGGATAAATAAATGCATCATGAAGACATGTGAAATGCATTTTTATTTTTTTCGTGTCAGAACACCAGCACTGAACTAAGCCCTCTTTTACGGTTCTTGCCAGGCTTCTAGTAATTTGATTAATTTCTCTTATCATGAGTACAGTCTGCGTTCTTGAAAGCATTTTGGTGTTGAGAGTTTCATATAAGGCTGTCCTTAAACAAGCCCAGTGTTTGGGAATGACCACCAGGAAGTCAGAAGGTCTCCTGTGCCTCAGCAGGGAATGTGGCTTTGGCTCTGGAAGGGGCCACTGCCAAGTGAGAGTTGATTTTTAACCCTTCCAGTTACACTGCCATTAAATGGTGTTTAGAGTGGAAAGGGAATTTGAACACAGACTTGTCAGTTTTCAAACCACAGGCTTCAGAGAGCAGAAAATCATTGTCAGCCTACACCATGCTTTGGGGAATGCTAACTATGAAGAGTGAGAGGTTCTGCCCCTGGATGATTTTTTTTTTCTGTGTGTTAAACTGCTGTGCCTAACTTTATAAGCTGAGGCACAAGTAAAATGTAGACTAATTTACCATTTTGACTCATTTCCCCCAGTCCATAGGCTGTAAGTACCCAATCCTGTGTTAATTCCTGAGCACACTCAGGAAGTGGTGTCAACTCTGATAAATCTGCTTTCCTCTGCCTTAGTGTGAGACAGCCAAAACTAGGATGATTGGCTTCATATTTTGGGATCTTCAGAGAAGTGGGGGCACATTTAAAATGTCTGTCAGAAGGAAACGAAACCTGATGAGATTCAGGCCAGGAAGTAACGTGTTTCTGCTTCCACTGCCCTCTCTGAGGTGTACCGAGGAGGATTAGGCCACACTGACAAGCTGACTGAAGAGCTGAGCAGTAAACTCAGGTTTTGAGTTTGTACACCTTACTGCAGCTGCTTTCCTGTAGTTCCCTTGTTTCTCCATCAGTTATTCCAGCTCTCAGACTGTTGATTCATGTGCTGACTGTGCCGTGTTTGGAGCTGAATTTCCTCTTGTATTGGGCACAGCAGTAGGAACAAGCAGTAATCCCTGAATCCCTGGGTTTTCCCTTACAAGTCTTTAGTATTAGCATGTAAGGTCAGTACCACTACTGAGCTCGAGAAGAACCAGAGGCCCTCTCCCCATTGCCCCAAGAAAGAGCCCTTGTCCCTGATGTGCAGCCGCTGTCTCAGGCAGAGAGAGGCATTTTTGAAAATGGGTCACCAATGGCAGTGAATTTTGCTGCTTCCCTCCTACAGCCAAAGAAATGCCCTGTGATGGAAGACAGAGCCAGCTGAGCACTGATCCTGTTCACATCCTGCTCTCAGAAGGGTTTCCCCCCCACTCCTTCCCATGTCTTCTGTTCACCAGTCTGGTTCACAGGACCTTGCTGTCTGACCCAGTCACCTCCAGATCAGCACATCTGCTCTGGTTGCTGCAACCCACGTAGCACTTCAGTGAACAGTTGAGGGTTGAATAGTTAAGGACTTTATTTCTGCACACCCCTTGCTCTGCTGTCCCTATTTTCTGCCTCCCCCTGAGGCTTGGTTTGGGAGTGAGAGAAGGAGCTGCTGAGGCGAGGGTGGCTGGAAGGAAAACCAAGGTACTAAGGCTCACTAAGTGGCTCTGAACCAGGCTGGGCCATGTTGGGCTGTGTGAGAGGACATCTGTGGTTTTTTTCCTTGCTGTTTCTGCCCTTGCTTTGTCCTGCAGGTCTGAGCACTGTGCTGCCATTTTTTCGTGATAAAAAGGAGTTAACAGTGCTTCCACGTCTGCAAAAGCACATTGAGGCCACCAGAGAAAAGGGCAGTGCACAAGGTAAGTATTTATTCTAACAGCAGGACACCTATCTTGAGGGTACTTGAAAAAAAGAGGGAAGATAGAGCAGAGGAATGTAAACATGCTGGCTTTGAAGGCTAGGACCATCTTGTTCAGTCTAGATCAAACACCAGCTTCTAGGCACGGGCATGAGCCCAAGAGCACATGGAGTGCATGCACAGTTCAGTGAGCACACTGGTGTCCCTGGGCTGCACCAGGCAGACACTAACAGCAAAGGAGGAATTAAGCACCAGAGCACACTGACAGAGTTATGTTTCCTTAGAAATCATTAAACCCAAAGGCAAGTTGTTTTATAAAGGAAACACCCTGTGTAAAGTGCAAGAGATGAGAAATGACAGGGAATTGGCTCCTAACCATACTATGAGCTTGGAAAAAGCACCAGATGTAGACTTGTGCAATTTTCTAGCATGTAATTTGTTTTTACATTATGTACAACTTGAGGTAAAATACACTGAGACCCTGTCCCACAGCTCATGTTAGACAGGCAGCATGGCTGTGTAAAGACGGTTTCTAGTTCTCTCTCCATCCTGTATAGCTGGCTCCTTTCAGGGGCAGTCAGTGTGTGTGAGAACAAAGTGTGCTGAGACCTGGTTTTACCACTGGCCATGGCTGCTCAGAGCCCAACAGCTTCTACAGGGCCCCAGCTAACCCAGACACTGGGGCTGGGGAGGGCGCACACATTCAGGCTGCACCATAAAGATGTTCTTTCCCCCTATATTTCTACTGTGACAAGGAAGACATGCTCTGAAGCAGCCTGGGTCTCTCCACTCTCCTCCACTCCCAAGTAGGCAACAAGACAAGGAGCCATACAGCTTCCTGTCCCCCACTCTGTGATGCTGTTGTAGCAGCTTTTGTAGAGTACTTGGAAGAAAACTCTGCTTGCATCTTTTCTCCTTTGTATCTTACAAAGACCAAATGGATACTTTAAGTCTTTTTGTTGTTGTTGTTTTTGTTGGTTTTATTTCTGTATGGGAGAAGACCACAAGAAAGACTGACACTGAAGTTTCTCTGGAGGCTCCTTTTGTGTGCACGTATGTCCAGCCTTGCGCTCTGGGGCAGCGCGGGTCGCCCTCAGCACAAAATGTCTGCCACCCATGTGAGCTCCTGCCCTGTGCTTTGCATGGCTGTGCTCTCAGTACCCCTCCCAAAGCAGCCCCTTAGGTCCCATGTCCAAGCTCTTTACATTAGGTGTTTAAAACGCTCTCTGAAATTTTTTCACTTTAAATGTTTTTGGGGGCTTTTTTTAAACTAATGTGAAAAACATTTCTTGAAGCCTGACGTCAGTTGTGGTTGATGGGCTTTGTTTATTCATGCCAGTTAACAGGCTAAGTGGAGGTCTACTGTACTTTTGCAAGCAATCTTAATCCCTTTGACTGAATAGCAAGAAGAAAAAGATGGGTTGACAGAGGCAGTTAGCAGAGATCATACTTACACATGTTTGTTTTCAGTAATTAGTCACAGTGTTAATAAAAACATCCACTTTAAGCTAAGACGGCTGATTTGCACAAACAGTGGGCCATATGCTCTGGTGGGTGTGGAAGGGGGTTGATAAAGCTAAAAAACTTTTCAGGAATTTTTATATGTGAAAACCTGCTATTATATTTATTCATTTATTTATCCAGTGTAATTATTTTTGTGCCAGTTAGGGTTTGCAATATTTTCCGCTTCAAAACATCAGAATAAAAACAGAGGTCTCCATGTTCACCTTGTCTGTCTCTCTCTCTTCTCTCCCCTGCTGCCTCATCACACACACACATGCACACACACACACAGAACAAGGGAGTTTTCAAGTGGCTGTCTATTGCTCAGGGCTTACATATGGGTAGCATATGAAAATGAACTAGGCTGTAGGTGTTTTAACAATGTAATTTAGATATGTTGCCTTTTTTAATTTTCCAATGGTGCCAGATGGGTTTTGCTGCCAGAGTATGAAAGCAACTGCTGCCTTTTACAAAGATTTATTATTTTTTGGTGATATGACAGACTAATACTAGTTCCAAAGGGGTAGATATGCTGAGTTGTTAACATACCCCTTTGATTCCAGCGTATTCTATTCC